AAAGGGGTTGAGTCTTAAATTCTGTAACTCTAGTCTTGGACACTTCCGCTACTGTCAGACGCTTCTGTAAATGATCCACAATTGTCACCGTTATTAAAGTTTGACGACTTACCTTCATCAAATTACATAGACGTTTAAATATGAGTTTATTGTAGTTGCGTGCTTCCGAAGAATATCGATCGTAAATATACGTATACATGAAGTGTCGGTTATACACGAAATTGGGAAGTTATTTTTGTATCGTCGACAAAATTATTTCTATTTCTTTGTTTATGACATCGTTTTATTCCTTTCTGAATTTCTTCTGTACTTGTAGCTAGCAAAGAGTGAATATTACTAAAGTATTTGGCCGTATCCCAACAATTTTGATAAAAAAGATGGATTTGGAAAAGTTCGTGCAGAAACAAAGAGTTCAAACTTTGTATAGCAACGAAAATTTCGCTCGCTCGATTATATGGCCTCCATGAAATATTGTGAAAAAAGCTTTCAAAAATTAAATATTGCTTGTTTGGACACTGAAAGTGAGGGTTTTCGCAGTTCATTGAACTTTTGCTGTCACGAAAATAGCTTCCATCACCATTTGCCGTGCTATTTAGGTTTCCTGCGGCTAAACAATATTCCCGCAGAAGATACTCTAACATAATGAAATAACGCATAGTGTCAATTTTTCTCTTATCAGCATGTTTATGTAATGTAAACTTAATAGTAGTAAGTATAGATAAAACATCCGTGATAACCGGTTACACCGATCATGATCGGTTTGCGATAGATTTACCGGTAGAACGTGAAGTTTTTATCACGTCGCGTGCTTGTCGAGTGGCCGGAGCGGCAGAGCGGCTATCCTCGAAAATTTATCAGCAGGTTATGTCGTACGGCATTACAGCATTTATGTGGGCCGCGTCACAAACTACGAGTGCGCCGCCGCCGTCCGACGCGCGTATCATTCGCTTGCCGATCACCGAACCAACCGTACGCACAGTGTGAGCCACGCTGCTCTCGCAACTAAACTCATCGACGATCAGCTGTTCAGTTTAACAACACACGCCGGCACCCACAGACACTTCCGGCTCTTACCTGACCATAATCTATCAACCTGCACCATGGTAAGGACACCAGTGATACCAGTGCCAGTGTAACAGTGAATAAATTGTGCCATCCTAAGTGTGCCCAAAATCGTGCCTGAATTAGCTTTCCGCATCGAAGCTTCCCAACACATTTAACCATTCTTAGTCCAGTGTCTAAGTAAACAGTGGTGTCAGTGAATGTATTCAAAATATCGATAGCAAAAACTCGCCACGAGAGTCCTGCTCGATTTAAATTTCAATATACACTTTAAAATGCAAAAAGGAATCGATTTGTCTACCTTCTATTAAAATTTACGAATTCGATTCAAGTGCTACCGCTTTGTCACGAGTTTACCACTTTCATAGTCGAAGTGTTATTTTATGTAAAGTTTATCGTAGTTTTCTTATATCGGGAATTGGACACGAGTGGATGATATGGTGATGTGCAGTTGCATCCCGTGGTGTGGCGTTTTCGACTGACGTGCGGTCGTTGTTGTTTGTAAGACCGGCTATAATTAGCAAACTCGTCCGTCCCCCGCGCCGGCCGCGCTTACATAACCGCGCCACGGCGGCCTTGACTCCCGCGCCGCATCTCGCCTAATATTGGCAGATCGATGCGTTGATTCCTCTTTATCACTTGACTACCTTTTACATCTTTTTGGGTTCACCTAATGGGAATAGAAAGTCGCATAACTAATATTATACTTATTCCCGATAAAGTTTTGGTTTAAATACGAGTCTTTGTTTAAATTTATTAAAATTAACTATTCTCTAAGTGACTTAAGTTAACAATTTTCCACTGTACTCTGTGTTGTTGTGAAAGTTATCGAAATTTACATACCTTTAAAATTTACCAGTGAAATTCAATTCTTAGAAAATCAAAGAAGAAAAAAGAAGAAATTAATTACCATCGAATTTTATGCATCATTAATTCTCTTATTCACACCTCCGCTTCGTCATTTGCCACTTCAGAAATTATGTAAATAACATCGACTTTTCGATTCCCTATCCTGTTTGACGGGGCTGATATGTTGTTTACATTAAAATTCTTACCTCCATCGGAGTCAGTATTTACAATGCGGTGACTTGCATGTGTATTATGCTAACACTTAGAAACGAGACTGCGTTAAGTTTATTTTAGTTTGTGAGTACAATCGTTGGTGACTCTATGGAATATTTTTCCTTAACACTACCTTACCTTACCGTTGTAAAATTGTTTTATTTTTCATCGTGATGCGTAATCAAGTTATGTTTTTTTTAAAACGTAATAGGTACGCGCTATCTAATCTGCATCGTCCTTGAGATATTAAGTCTGCATTCGTTTTTGTCGATATAATCTCTCATAGTAATATACCCAGTCCTCTTATACATGGCTTGAATCAAGTATCTTATTTGTTAAAACGAGTTCCTTTTATGTTTATTATTTTGACTTAACTTTATTTTTTTTATAATATTCATAACATTATCAATTAATAAGCCTGAAACGGTAACTGCAAAAGTTTTATTATTTGCCTTATAATTATGTTAATTGAATACTGATTATAATTGTTTTTGTGTCTTGGAAGTCTTCCTATAAATGCAATAATTAGATTGATATTTTTCGTTTTGGTATTATCGTCATTGTCAAACAAATATCTGCTATGCGCAAACATTAGCAAGTAGTTGATTTGCTTTACTAGGGTACTCATAAATTCCGTGAAATTTTCTGTTACGATGATCTGGCAGATAGTAAGTTCAACGTACTTAATAACGATTTAGGAGACGCAACGCAGTATTATGATGGATTACGAAATATCATCGGAACGCCCCCGACCCTGACAGATGTAATTGTTGAATTGTGCCGGTGCCGGCCCGGTGGATTCACTGCCAAGGTCGCGTAGCTGTCTATCACATGGCTTTCAATAGACATATTTGGTAACTTTATTGCATCAATTTATTCGGTTCATTGTTAACCTATATTGGTAGACTTGAAACTTGAGCAGTGTTTTTAAATCCTGATTAAGCGCTAATGGGGATATCGCGAACTTTCTCTCCAATGTATTTGTAAATATAGTTGATTGGCTGAAACATGGATTAATTTTCATTTCATCTTCAAAATGGATTTTCCGAGATTTGAAATTCAATTGGATCGTGATCCGTCTTATCTATATTAAGAAGTTTCCATCGTCCGGTAAATAGATTTTTATCTGTCCCGCTTCTTGAGCTAAGTTATTAAACTTCGTTTTGTGACAATCGCACAAAAGCGGTTCGGTACTCCAGATAGGCCGTTCGGAATCTCTGGCCCGCAATCGATATGGGAGCCACCGCGTGCTGCCGTGCGCGCGCAACGCTTCGAGCTGTGAATGGCCGTACCGACATGGAGAATATTCACTAGGGGAGGACGACAAGGTCGCAGTTACTACCGTCTCTACATCCCTTTCTCACTCAGCATCCTAATATAGATCCGTCTCTTGCCAACAGATTCACTTTCTATCGTACCGCGTCACTGCACCATCCAAATAAAACACACCTCTCGGCCGTCTGGTTAGAAGTGAATCGGCAGTTTTTTATATGGCTATTGTGTCGTATAATAATATTACGATTAGATGACTGTTCAGGATGTTTCAAATTTTACAAAGTAGGTAATGGTACAGGCGACGAAAATTTGACCAAATTTTCAATATAGTACTCGTACTAAATGGCCTAGCATCAAACCAAACATAAGAAACAAAATAAAAATAGAATTTCAGGATAACTTTTTGCATCACTTTAAGAACAACTAGAGAAAAATAGATGAAATTCATTAATTTGTAGATTGATTCGACACTGCAAATTGATTTATTGAAACTTTTATAATATCATATACCTACGTAAAACAAAACACAATTTTTTGTTTATATATCAATTATATCGTAGTACTGATTGTAGAGGTTAATGAAAACTTGAACTGTTGGTTGATCTAAGGCATTTTATTTATCAATCTACATTCGTTTCAAGATCATTGACGCAAATGTTTCATTGGGAGAGCTTTGGGTCATCTCAGAGAATAATTAATCCATAACTGCTTGAGCTTATTTGTAGTAACGGTAACAGATAACTGCTGTTTATTTTCTCTATCTACTGTCATCCTTGAAGCTATTCAAATTAGTGCCAGCTGGTCTAGAGTAAGCACGTTCAAATTTTTCGTTCTTTATTATTCGTTAACGCACTGTGAATAATTGCCTAAACAAACTTTCAATCCGGTAACTCATTGTATGTAGTGTGCTTACAATCTAATTATTATGTTTAGCATTATGTTCAATAAATACAATAATTAGTTCAGTAACAACGATATCAATGATTTAACTATTATTATAATTGAATTTCATCAGTAAACTAGTACAAAGTCGAATCCTGTACATTTTGTTTACATTGACATTTTTCATGAACTTCTTATCGTTTTATTGTTATGTCATTCATTACTATCACATTTGCTTCTTCACATTTGTTCGTTAACTCAACATTACACACTTGTTACATAACATGAATTTTAAATTAATATCTAAGATACTTGTTAATGTACAGTGTAACATTAATAACTAAGATACTTCTTAATGTACGATTCGGTCCGTTTTTGTTAGCCAATTCACGGTAGCCCTAGCCAGCTCGTCTGCTTGTTGGCCTTGAATGTTGTTGACTGATTACACGCCATTGTGTGCTTTGCAACGCATCTTAGGTACGACAAATCTGGCTTGTCTATATATTTTCTTTTCACACATCCCTCTTCGTCACTCACTCGCATGCAAAAACAATTAGCGTTTTAACGTTCGATTCTCCGTCGACTAATAACCGTGGAGTTCACAATTGTTTTTTATACGTAGGCACTCGTATGACGTACACAATATGTATGTATGAAGACGTAAGGCAGATCGCGCGATAATGTCTTTCTTGTTCCTATGTAACTTTTTCTGTTCACAGCGGTATCGAGTGCAAAGATGAGGTGTTTGCTACACACCAAGTCCAGGATGTGGACTTAAAACCGGTCGTGATACCGACTTCTGCACCTGCACCTGCGCCTGCACTACCGTCGGTGCCGATCTGTCCACCAATCGAAGTTCCCACAGCTCCTACGGTGACTGCAAGCGCACCCGACGAGGAACGCCCGATACCTGTAACAGAGTTCATATTTGCACCGCGAAAGAAAGAAATGAATAAAGGATTTCTCATGTTCTCGCCGGACGAGGGTCATACAAGTGAGTTTCAGTTGAAAATGAGCCTCAAAGTCATCCTTTGTGAATTATTTACCATTGCTCCCCTACAATGCTCGATATTTCTTTCAGTGCTTAAAGACGAGCCGGAAGATCTGACTCACTTGGCACCCACTGCCGGTGACACGTGCATCCCTCTGGAGAATAGCCCCTTTGATATGTTCGATGAGTTCATGCTGAATGACAATTACTGTAGCCTATTGGGTGATGATTTGACTAATGCATCGCCAATGGACTCTCTGACGCCGGAATCATTTTTATTGTCTTCGCCCGAGCCCCAGGTGGGTTTTCACATTTATTGTTCATACTAATTACAATAATGCAAACAATGTGGTAAGAACCTATTCTTTATGTTTAACGACTTTGTTTAATCGTACGATATTTTTTTTAGGAAACCGAATCTTCGTGTGAACAGTCGTCACTTTTGACAGAATTATCACTAGATGCTTTCGACAGTGGTAGATCAGACAATGACATTGATGATGGACATTCGCCGTTTATACCGATGAGCGATGAGCGCCCCGTGCTAGAGCCGGCAGTAATGTGGGGCGCGTTACCAGATAACGTCAGCCAAGCAAGACCGCAACCCTCTGAAATGCAAACGGCGACTTCCGCGCCAGCATTGGAGCGGTTACTAGCGGCTCCCACAACGGGCCCACCTCCACAGGATCTCATTACAAATATATATTCAGATCAAGGTATTACAAATACGATAGTTAAACTTGCGTTCGATTGTGCCAAATTTGGGTCAACCGCATAGTATTTTTTTTACTTTTAGGTCTGATACCGTGTAGAAGTATGCCCTCATGGGACACTGGTGTGAAAAGAGTGATGAAGCAGGAAGAAGAGCCGAGCGCGAAACGTGCGAAGCGCAGTCCGTCGCCTGCGCCGGCGACTCCCACCAGGACGCAGTCTTCCAGCGTCCTCATGAACCTCCTGGTGAGCGGCTGCGACGTAGACGCCGGCTACATCTGTATGGTGCAGTGTCGCCCACGGTCGAAGGCCAAGGCCTGAGTCACGCATCCACCATAAAATAAACTGTGATAGTACACGTCCAGTGTTCACTCGATGCTGCTTCTATATCCCCGTGCTTCTCACACGATACTCCTCGGGTCGAATTTAAAACATAGAATATAAAACAGTGCCGTCATATACATAATTGTGATATTACATTCTTACGCGGGCGGCAACGACAAAGTCGCTGTCGCCGAGTGTAAACGAAGTCATAGATAGAGACAATAAAGTCGAATCGAATACCGCAAAAGCAATAACTGACCAGTCGGAAGGGTCGCGGCTGGTCGGGGATATCACCGTTCTCGCAATCTCGTGCTTTCGTCAACTTAGATTTATTTAATTTATAGTCGTATCTCATGGCGATATGGTGTGAAATGGTGAAGCAATTTATCGTGTTAGACATTGTTTCTTAGTGCTTAAGTTAACGTGCGCATATCGTGGTGGTTATGTGATCGTCGATTCGTTCCTATAGGGTACCTAGTTACCGTGGCCGCGCACCAGTCTTATGTTGTAGTTCGAGCCGAGTCAATATTGTTATTAGGTTTTATAGTTTATAAACTTGTCTCATACGTTTGCGCTATTTATTCGTTAATGTTTTAAGACACGCTTAGTTTATCTGTATTTTTTTTTACGTCGTGGTATTTAGAACTTACGGAGTCAATGATTAGAGTTAGTCGTATGGTTTTTAGTATTCGTGTCTGTCATTTTGAATGTACATATAAATATTCCGAGTTAAACTATCCTGTGTAGTATTCTAGTTTGGACGAGGATTTGTTTGTTGATTGTTTGTTGAAAACTGTTCCCACTGCCAAATGATATAAAGTACAACTTAGAACAAAGTTTTAATGTGGTTTAGTTTATGAAGGAAATTTATAAAAATCTATAGTCCCGACCGACAGTCGTACATTTTACAATGTATTTTTTTAAATCTTGTTATTGTCATTCAATCTTTATAAAGTAATTTTATAGCATCTAAGTTATACGAATAAGCATAATATGCATTGATCATGGTCTGTGAAAAAAAATTGAATTATGAAAACGTGATTGTCGTTAGACATAAATATGTGGATGGATTTATCGTTTGTTAAAGTTTACATTTTAAGCGGATGTGTAATAAATTAGAGAAATATTTTTCTTGGAAAAAAAATAGATATTTAAATTGATGGAAATAATAATATATATTAATTAAACAAAAAGAAATTATTTAAAATACATAGTGCTGGTAAAAAGGTGTAAGTTGATTTCTTTACCTCAAACATCCCACCCCAGAATCCTGTTAATCCTCCTTGTATTAGCTTTGACCTACCTTCAACTATAAATAAGCAAGAGGTGCCACAATAACTGGTTTTAATAAAAACATCCAAGTTGAAATGACCTACGTTTGAAATCTGGTTTTTATAACTACCTCAACATCGAGTGGTGTATTAAACATTATTTGTTTTTTAACTTCTTTTACGACTCGCAACATTATCTGCCATAAACCCATAAAGTTCATATTTTTTTATGAACTACATTGAGTTTCCTGTAAGAAATTTAGGGAAAATCGTACCTTATTGCTAACGTTATAACATACAAGGTATATGTAAGGTGTTGTGAAAAAAATTTAACCTTTATTCTCAGAAATTTGCGATGGGCGATGATAATATCAATCAGTTTTTCCTTTTACTTATTTGGCTCTAGATATCTCTTATAGTTTCGAACATTTTCCTGACAGATCGCGAAGAGCGTTCATTTCATCTATATATTTATGTTTTGAACAAAGAAAATCTCAAGTCCGTGTTATATTTGCATCGCTCAGCATAAAAAAAGCTAGTCAGTCTGATTAAATCTTTCATTTTCTTCATAACTTATTAGATAGTATCGTAGATACTGTTGTAGGGAGGTATTATATTAACCTTATTATTAGATAATGAATCATAAATTACCTTGTGTGAGTATGCTGATAAATAAATAAACATAGAAGAACATGCTGCTTTTACTTGTTTACGATATGTGGAACAGGGAAGCAGGAATGCTAGTACACCAGACAGCACGTGATCACCATTCGATAGTAAACAGTGAATATCACGTGAATTCAATACGCTCCATTGTGTTATTAATAGTCATGTCAAATTCATGGTGGACGTTAAAACGCTCGCGTGCCAACATACTATAAAAGAGAACCTTTATTAGCGCCGGCTATTGGCCTTATTCTACAACTTTCAGAAGCTAACCTATTCAAATAATCATTAGGTAACACACCATGCATTAGTGTTTGTATAAATCTTTTGTTCGGAGAAATTAAAAAAGATCTATGTAATTTGAGATGATCAGAAGAATTTAGCTTTTCGCAAATTGTGTCAGTAATGATATTGCCTACGCTGAATATTTCTTTGCGAAGTTTTGTGATAATTATTCGATTCAGTGACTAGGCGTTTGCATTAAAACGTTACGGTCTAGTTCTCGGGTTCAGTTTTTCCATTACTTATACCAACCACTAAGTTCCACATAAACGATTACAACAAGTTAGAATTTTTTAAACCTTCAGCACGACTATGACGTCGCGTGTTAGAAGTTAACCCAATTTGGACACTGTAAATTTACATTCGTCACTCGGAGAAGCTCGGTAAATTGTTTGAGCGGGTCACTCAGAGGACAGTATTAAAAAAATCTCCCATCCATCCCCCGGGGTTTTTACGAGAGCTCCCTGCTCCCTGATAGTATAACGGGCGTTGACTCTTGGAACCAAGCGTTTGTTTCCATCTACCGCTTGCGGGGTAACGTTGCGCTATACGCAACATTTAACGGGAGCTTATCCTCATTTCTTTATTTTTCCTACGCTTTTGACCTTATAAAGAATGCTTTGAGTGCTGCTCTTTGAAGGCGATGCACACTTCTATTGTTATTTATGTTAGTAATTCAAATATGGATCCTACAATAGCGTTTAATGGTAATAACAAAATTGAAAGTTCAAGGAAATGTGGAAGTTAGTTCCTACATTCCAAACTCTACCTCGAAAAAATCAAAATGTTCGAGGACATTGTTAATTCGAAATCAATATATTCAGTGACCTGGATAGCGGGAAGATCAGTAAGAAATGAAATTGAGTCTCTCAAAAGTTAGCTAAATATGATGATGGGACATGGCGGTAATACTGTAATCGACACATTGAATAAGCTTTCTGGTTCCAGCGTTATTTAAACCAACGAGTTTTCATTTTGTGTAATATAAGATGTGTCATCGTTAAATCATTGATGTTATCATGACCACACCTGTAATGGAAGGTGCTGATAATACTGACTGCACAAGGAGCGTAGTTAGTGTAACTTCGTATCTTGCAATTAGTAAAATGAAGATAAAATACCTCTCATAAGGTGCTACGCTATGATTAGCAAAGATGAAGTTAGTACTAGTTATAGATATCAATGCATTGATTATGTGAAGTTCAGTTTTTGCCAATAAATTTTCTAATCTTCCTTTGTAGCTACTTATTTTCTGCTTACTACATTAAAACGCTTTCGAGAAGGGTTTTAAAGTTCGCGGGTTTCAATTCTACGTGACATTTTAGGTCCCAAACCCGTTTCAGGTTTCGTGGTCACAAGACGAGACAGCTTTGCTGACCTTTTTTAATTGAGTTGTTTTTAATTGATTTCTTTCTTTTTAGTACTTTACTTTTATGGTTTCTTTTTTCAGCAAAATAATTATCTTACTTCTCTCCAATCAGCCATAATAAATTCTGGTTTCAGCAAATGCATGTATGCTTTTAATTATTTCATGATTTGCATTTTACGTCACGAGAATTTATGCAAACATTCTACTTTACTTACATCGTCCATTATATTTGTGCTAGCAAAAATAAACCAGTAGCGATTAGCCCACAAGGCTTTTATAGCTTTGAGCCAATTATTTAGATGCGGGCTCCGTCGGTAGTTCTTATAAGGACAACAACCCAGTGACTTTTCTTATCGCGCTAAAAACCAATTCTTTTAGAATAGCACTTAGTCACGTCACTTAACGCCGTTTATGTAATTTGTATTCGAACAGATAGGGCTCTTTTTATCATTTCATAGATAAAATTGTAAATGGATTCGATACTTAATGAAAATGTTTTGTCACTTATTTCTTTTTAAATTATTGTTTTCACATACATGAATACCCGCATGCCATCTATACCTTATGAGGTTTGCAGAGCATTCAAAGTGAGTGTATGATAATTATCATTAATTATTTTATCGAGTAATAAGTGGTAATCCAATAATTAACAAATTTACGTATCTGGTGACTTCTTAGAATACTAATAAATCTTAGAAACGTTGCAGACCTTGGTATACCTAGTTCTGAATCTATATAAAAAGTTACGCCTTCCCAAGCTTCAATAATGGCAGGCTCCTCAAAGAGACCCCCGCTGACGCATTAAAGGATTTACCATCCAACCAAATACACCTATTATTGGTCTAAAGCTCTACCCGAAATTGGGCCAACTGATTGAAACACATTTCTAGTTATGTACAAGTAATTGCAAGAACAGGCTTTGAGATTAAATAGATTAGACATTATATAACTATAATTTAGGCCAAACAATTTTTAGATCGAACTTTCTATTTATCAATCATGTGTACATGCGTGCAATCCCACCGGCATAAAAAAATTAAAGCTGGCAAAGAAATGAAAACAAAAAAGTCAAGAGAATTCAATCGACGTATGTTTAAAACATTTTGTCACACCTCCAAACACGTAATTGTTTGTATAACTCGACGCGTCAGTCAATGCACCTGAAAACCATATGTTAGATTTATATCCTGGCTGGGACAGCTTCAGCATTAAAATAGACATTCAAAAATATCTCTAAAACCAACTCGAATTCGTCTATGAATTCAAAGAACAAATTTTTAGTAAGTATTGCCACTTTTTTGGCTTGTATTCAAAGGCACAATACAATTATTTTAAGACTACGGTTACTTGAAGGCATGGGCATTTTTTTTTATTCAATCAATAATTCAATTCTAATTTATACGTGCATAATTGAAGACTATTCACTAATCATGAGTAAACAAGTTAATCAATGATTAATCATTACTTTCAATCTTAACTTCATGAATTCATGCTTTTGATAAATGAATGTCCCCAAGGGATTTATATAAAAACTTAGAGATACGATCACTGACAAGTAATGTTTACAATACTTAATTCGCACACTTTCTTTGCCGCTCTTTCTTCTTACCGTCTCCCACATCCACACCTGTCCAAAGTATATTTTCTTTTGCTGCTATAATAAATCATCTGAATTATCTGATGACTTGTGAGTGAGTTGGCATGAAAAATAATATTAATTTCTCATAGGAATATTAGATAATGTAACTGTTCGAGAATCGACGTATTGAGTTCAGAAAATGTAAGTCATCTCCATATTTTCTAAACTGGACCGAATCAAACTCTTCATCACGTAAATTAATTTTATACTTTTTCAGAACTTTTAACCGAAAATCAAAATGAACTTGATAAGTAAATGTGGTGTGGTAGTTTTTAACTACTGCCCCAGCTATCTTCACGTCTGGACTATACTACCTCTCAAGTTCTGATCGTCAGGTCAAATATAACATATTTCTAATAACGCGCAAAGGTTATTTGGGTATTAAAAAATCTTTATCTAATAATTATACTTTAACGTTTAAATGAAATAGAAAACAACAACACGCGTCGCGAGCACTTAAGCTTTATGATCTTCTTTAAAACATAATCATAATAAATGAAAATAACATTAGATAACCTCATATAGCGGCACGTAATAGCACACATACAACAGCTAGCCAACATGCTGGGTTCCACCGTGCAAACAACAACTCGTGAAATCCACGTCTTATCAGAGATAGCCATTAAATGTACGACTTTAAGGTTCAAATAATATATAGTCTTGATATTGAGGAATAAATTTTAAATTAAACTTATAACTTAATTAAAGTTAAACTAAAACTGATTTTGAGAGATGAGATTTTGTTTGCCAAAAACAAGACGGAGGCATTATAATTACACCTAGGCTAACTTTAGCCCGCATCTTTGGAATAAGGGGAAGTAAGTCTAAAATAAATAAGATACTAGTGAGTGCCCGTGACTACGTCTGCGTGGAAAAATTGGTTTTCACAAAGTTTCAACCCCCCCTCCCTTTCACCCACTTCAAGGACGTTATCTGGGATATGAACTGTCATAACGTCCTTCCCCGGGACTGAAACGATCTCGGTACCAAATTTTATCTCAACTGGTTCAGCGTGAATAGGCAACAGACATAAAGTCAGACACACATTCGCATTTATAATATAAGTATGGTTAGCAACGATGTGATGATTTCCGCAAAAAAACTCAGAATTTTCTATTTCAATTAAAATTTGGTGGGTTTACCCGTTTGGTATGAAGATTTAGTCGTTCACTAATACAAAGCTATAGCTGTGTTTGACGCTTGTTTAAGCTTATACACTGTATTTAGACGCTTTCTCCCATGTTGTTATTGGTTACCGTCAATCTCACTTCGCTCCTTACTCAACCTAAAAAATTTGACGGTTTATTCGGGGGCGTATCTAAATCTTTGATAAGGAAGAAAGAGGAATGGAGTTTCTGGATATTCCCACAGGAAATAGAATTGTACGCGAAATAAGAAGTGGGCACATTAAGGCGCATTAATAGTAATGTTACGTAAGAAAAAATCTTTGGATACTTCTTCACTACATTTTTATTGTGATCATAATTGTACCTACGCTAATAAAGATAACGATCCAGTTGATTTGGCCGATCGAACGAATCAAGACGATATTCATGTTCAATGTTACATAACACCACGATAAGGACAGTAGTAACATGTCCCAAGTTTGACCAAAAACATAGTTTTGACCGAACGATTCAAAATCTATAATCTTTTATTGGTATCTAAATGTAATTTTTATTTTATTTCTTTAGTTGTTTCCCAGAAATTTGCAATTGGATATGCCGTTATCTCAAATGTCGGTTCACTTCATTTACAATATTGGGTAATGCTCAACAATGTTCTCAGAAATGAACTACAAATTATGGTAATGAATTGATGGATGGAAAATCATGAATAAACAGTTTGGATGGATCTTACTTAATATCGACTTTACTAGTATAAATATTAAAGAAGCAAGTAATACGCAATTTACATAGAATTTCGATTATGTAATAGAGAACATCTGTTTTATTTAAAAAACCTTAGTAAACTTATGTAACCTAGACTTCTTCGTGTCTTTTAGTACACTAGAGTCCCTATTACGCAGGACTAGTTACGCAGTGTCAATCTCTGCCGATCGAATTACACAATTACAGATGTCTTTTTGTTTTGAGTGATGTGAACAATACACTGCGTGTCTAGAGCAAACTTATTTTTCGACTATCGTATGTTACTAGATCTACATAATGTTAGGTTTCATGTTATCTGCTTTCATGACACAAGTATCGTTTTTTTCTAAAACACGTGAGAGTTTTCTGTCTTATTTCTTTTGAGCGATTAAATTTTTATTTTGTTTCTTTAAATACAGAATTGATTTCGAGTAAATATTTGAAATTAATTCCCCTCTTTATTTCGTTCGGGGAGGGTCCTTCGGTCCGCAATGCAGCATCTAAACGCTCACGTACCTACATAAACCCAAAATTATTGCCCTTAATATTACTTTCTAAAACAATATTTAATAAGGTACGTGGTCCTGCAAGCCATATTAATATTTGGCTTGCCGGTGGCTACTAATATGCTAAAAAACTAGCTGTACGGTTTGCGTGTTCAATTGCTCTTTTAAATTACTAGTGTCATTGTTGGTATGATGATAATAAACCAATTATCCACTTGCCAAAATAGTAGTACCAGTAGAGGCCCACGTTGCTTTGAGAGGTAAAAATGCTACATCACAGTTGACACTAAATAGCTATATGATTTCCGTTTCCGTTCCGATTTTCATGTCATGTTTTTTTGTTCAGTCTGTTATGTAATGATATTTCGCTTTAATTATCAAGTATTTATACTGTCAGTTAGAAGTCAATAATATAATAATAACATCCACAACACAATCCTTCGTAGACAGTAGCTGATTTCAAGTAGATGAGCCGATTTTTTTATAGGTTAGAAACAATTAAAAATTAGGATATTTATGTGGAAAGATAGATGGTCTTATTTCATTAAATAATTCATGTTACGCTTAAGCTGTTCGAAAGAGAGCTTACATAAGTTCCACTCATTATCTTGCCGCAGATAACAAATTTACCTTCTGGCGTATTCTGTTAGAAAATTTATGCAATCGTCAAGAGATGAATATTCACTACCCACTACTTGAGAGTCAAGGTCACAGAGCTAATACAACATCCATTCCTCATTTACATGTATATTAGAACAACATGCACCTTTTTACTGTTATTTAAATCGATCAGTGCAAAACCTTAATAATCGAATGACTAACCATTTACGACTGCCTCCGTGGTCGAGTGGTTTGTACGCCGGGTTTCATGGTGTCGCCGACTCGAGAGGTCCCGGGTTCGAATCCCGGTGGTGGCAGATGTTTGTGTGATAAATACGAGCATTTGTACTCCAGTCATGGATGTTTCATATGTATTTCTAAATTAAAAATATAGTATATGTATTGTATCCGTTACCCTAGTATCCCATAACACAAGCCTTACAGTGCTTACTTTGGGGCTAGGCTAATTGGTGTGAGTGTTGGAAATATTTATTTAGATTTTTGTGATTAATATTTTCCTTTTGTATTTTCCAGCCTGGCGGTGTTCCCCAGAAGATGCTGCAGCAAAACAACGTGCCATCCAGCTACCAACTGGTGATGAATCCGAAGATATCGCGTAGTATAAATAGTAACATTCTGCCAATACCCGTTATTAACGTACAGACTGTGTCGAGTACAAAACTAGTGATGCGTCCCAACACGTCCATTGTACAGAACTCCACAACAGGTAGAAATCTGAACAGCAATATAACGTGTCCTCTCAGCGTGAACGTGAACAGTCCCATGTATTCGTTACCGTCCAGCCCTAATACTTCCAACTACAGTCCTGTAATGAGCCCAGCTCAAAGAGACAGGGTTCTTAGTCCTTATTCCACTCCGCAATCCCTTTCGCCAGTCGGCAAATTCAGCCAGATGTACAGTCCTGGTAGCAGGTTGGTCTCGCCTAACGGATCGATTCATGGGGGTGATCCTTACCTTTCGAACAAGATGCAAGCCAGTCCAGGTTTCCCTTACCAATCAAGCGATTTACTGTTAGACTCTAACGTGTCGATGTCATCGTCGGACTTCTGGGGCGACACCGATATGCTGTCCGGCACAAACGATCTACTCACAGCGTTCGACGACGTCAAACTTTGATTCTAAATCAGCTAATCAGCAGTCGGAGGGGGTGATTTCTCTGTAGTACGTTGGAAAGTGGAAAGACTAGGAAAGCATTCATAAAAAGTCACATATACCGCCTGATTATTAAATGCTCTTAAATCTTGAAGCTTACATTCCGATAGTGAGAACAGAGATTTGCAGGATATCGCAACTGCTATACAAATCACTGCCAACGAATGCGTGCTCTGATAAGAGAATACCAACGGGATTCCGCACATTTCTGAACTAAGCAGTTACTATTGATAGATTTTGGCATCGGAAACGATTCTCCTATCTTTATATTGGTAGAATCGATTAAATTTTAATAAAGATCCGTCACATCCTGTTATACTTTTTCCTTAGTGACTTCGCTGATTAACATGTTTATGGAACATTACAAGTTTTATTATTCAGACAGATTTGGCTTGTTTGTTTCTATAAAAACAGATGAGTTCATCATAATATTTTGGTAAATGTAGGTTATTTTAAGAAACGTTGCGATTCTATTTAGATTTCATTAAATCCACAAAACCATATATATAGTTCACTACTTGTTTTTAAAACGGCCTACGGTCTGACTGTTCATTTAATTGTTCACTGCCTTACGGGTATGTTTTTAATGTAAATTGTTTTTAACTCTTTGTTGAGTATGTAGTGTGGTTTTTGGAATCCTGGTTAGCAAGACTTTGTCGATGTAACGATGTGACTTACAGAAATAATGTTCTATAATTAATTATAAGAGAATAGATTATGCAATGTCGTATACAACGTAATTTTTATTCACCAAAAATGTATTCAAAATTCTAAACGAAATCATGCTGTTGACCATATTAAAGTTGAAATCGCTTGCTCTTCATTCTGATATTGTGTAGAGATTCCTCCTATTATTAGGATAACGGCTCGAGCTATTTTCGCTCTGAAAGTTCAAACGTCAGGTCTGCCGAGCGACATGGGTTGTAATACGTGAAAATATTTTCGACCCTTGACGTGGTCCGTTTCCTATACAAAACGTTTTTCTCCACACTCCACACTCCTCAATGCCCTTCAAGAATTTGAAATGAGATATATTTGATCAACACGAGTTCAGCTAAGTATTTGCTGATAAAATAAAGTATGAGATAATTTCAAATTAAGTAATGGAATGAATGAATAATTTAGCGGTCTCTGTCATATTTTTTGCTGAGTATCATTGAGTGAGGGAGTATTTCAATTATTTAAGTAACTCAATATTGCTATTGGTTAATGTTGGGAGTTCTTATTTCGTAATACGTTCATTATTGTGGAAACTTAACCTCCATAGCATATTGCTTCGCCTAAGTAGGTATTAGTCTCGAAAATTTGGTGAATCAAAAATGCAGTGTATCCTCTAAAGTATATTATTATTAATTAAGGTGCTTTGGGGTAATTCCGAATTATTTTCTGATTAGTTGATATAAATGTTTTGAATTATTATTTTTATTTCTAACTCTGCAAGATTTATAAGCAGCTGCTGTCAGTTATTTTAACAGAAATATATGTCCAACGTCTTTCGATAAGCTTTTCTTATCAATATTATCACATTACGTCAATTCAAGCTTATAAAATTTGGTGTATTTTTTTATATTGATGGGTGTAATTTCGAAATATGTTGGGGTAATTCCGAATGTTACTTAAAAGTCATATTTGTAAGCTCAAACTTAAGATTTCATTTACTTTAACATACGAATTTACCCCGCTTTGAAAGAAAAACTGATATCCTTTGTAGTTTGCCCAAACACACTTTTGATTACTTTGATTTTCGGAATTACCCCGCTTATAGTCCAGTGGTTCTAAACATTAAATTGTTGGTAAAAAGAAGTCTGATAGGACTAGTGCAATGCAACTATAGATAAGGACAGGCTTAATAGTCTAGGACTGTAGGAGAAAAAGAAACAAGTTAATAAATGAAAGAGTTCTTGTTTCACTTAAAACGACAGTTTCATATATTTTGGTTCTTTGAAAAACTTACATTTAACGAATAAAATAAATTAGATACTCAATAAATAACATAAATAAACGGCAGTACCAGGTTAATGTTAACCGTCGAAAACAAACAATATTATTTTAAATTAAAGAACAGATAAATAATAACGACAATTATTAAAGAAAGGGTATGTAGGTTAATGTACTAAATCCTGTATTAAAAAAAGTAATCACAAAAACAAAATTTCAGCATACAAATCAGTAAGTAAATGGTTAAGAACTGTGTGTGTGTTCTTCCTTCAATACGGCTTGGATTGCCTTAGCCATATCATCTTGCGTGTATTTTGGTAGTTTTTTCTTTTATAGTTCCGCGGTATTTTCTCCTGGAACAAAATTAGTTTTGTAAATATATTATACTAGCGGTTGCCCGCGACTTCACACGCGTAAACTACTATTTTTGTATCCTACAGGAACTGTGTTTATTCCGGGATAAAAAGTAGCCTATATGTTATTTCAGACCTAATCTATCTCTGTGCCAATTCATTTCATCCATATCCGTTCAGTATTTTTTGCGTGAAGAAGTAACAAACATACATACACCCTAACAAACTTTCGCCTTTATAATATTAGTGTGATTCATCTTCCGTATTAAAAACAACGTCACCTGACAATATTGGCACAGTTGTACTTACAACAATTATTAAATAACAATGTATTTATTATTTATTCGATTTTAGTTTACTTATTTATTTAGTCGGAAACTGACAACTGATATGACAAAACAATGCATGCATATTCATTTAAAGTCAGCGCTCAGAATTTGTGAAACAAATTAAAAATGTTGACAAACACTGCAATTCATCAAGAAATAACATTTTGGGGTAAATTCGAAATATTTTTCATTCATAATCACCCCTGCGGGGCATTTCCGAAAAAAAGTAAAATTGGTAGCTACTGTATCCTAACCTGTACAAAACAATGCCTAAATTGATAACCTATCATTTAAACAAACAATGAGGAAGATTACTTACCAAACAACAGAGAAAAAGATCTCGGGGTAATTCCGATGATTCACAAAACAATGAAACTATAGTCGCGTTAGAAAAATAAATGTTGTGTGCATACGATCAGCACAAGCTTCATGGCAGGACTGACGCAAGGGAAAAAAATAAGATGGCGACCATATTAATGTTGCCAGAGCAAAAAATATTGATTACTTTGGTAGTAATTCATTATTTTCGGAATAAACCCTTTTTCGCCTTTACCCCAAAGCACCTTAGTTATTAAATATGAATGGGTGCACAGAACACAGAAAGAAGAAGGGCCTTGTGGGCGGGGCAGGCGCGCTACAGTTAGTTGTGAGCAAATGCTCATAACTTGACCAAAACTTGGCAACGATTGCTTTGTTGCGATGGGGTGTGAGCGCCGATTGGTTCGATTGTTTGATGTCACGGCGTTTGATTGGCTAATATCTATTAGGTGTAAGTGTAGTGCGGGCGAGCCGGCGACATCGGTTCCCGTACAAAAGGTCTCTGAAGACCCTTCTAACCTCTTTCTGTGTTCTGTGAATGGGTGTTAAGTAGAGATTTTAAGTTAAACGATGTCGTACTAAGAAATTGAGACGGTTTTTTTTTATAATAATGAAGTATATACTAATCGAAAGAATGAGATTTTTTGTCTGTCCTAATAAACGCATGCACAATCGCATATATATTATGTTGATTAAAGAAAATTGGCAGTTTCAACATACATAAATATTTAGTTAAAAATCAATGTTGTTACTTATATGTGTATAAAATAATAACAATTAAAATACTAACAGGCTCATGATTTGCAATTTGTCAAAATTGTATGTTTCAAACATTACTTAATTTCGAATTCAATACTTTAAGATAAATGGGTTAGTTTAAGTTCTTATTTATATCTCTACGATCAAAAATATATACTCATTTAGATAATAAGTTAATAATTTGTGTAATTCATTTCGCGTCGTTAATAACAAACTATATCAATACTGTCGAATATATTTTCTCGCTATCCTGTTTCAGACGAAAATCGTTCTTATTCCACAGCTTACAGAGTATATGTTTTACAATAGAGTCATAACTGGACCGAGTCGCAGAGACGCCCTCTAGTTGAGCCGACCCCTTCGACACGGTAATAATATCATACAGTATTCTATCTTCACACAAACGGTCGGAAAGCGAGTCATACCTACGCCACTCGAGTTCGATGTGCTCTCGGCGTGCACCCAGTCGCGAATGCGCCGCCGCGCCGCAACGACGACCGAACGGTCTGAATTGTTTTTTATGCAGTTAGCCGTGCTTAAACGTGCGTTTTGTATTGTAAATATTTGATTTAATTAAGTAGATACCTACATAATTTAGGTAGTATGGAAAAGAACAAACGACGATCAATATCGTACAACAGCACAATTGCTGTTTTTGGTTGCTTGAACTCTTCAATAACACACCCAGAGATATCATTTTTTAAATTACCTGAAATATTGGAAAGGTGTCTTACCTTTATAGAATATTTTTTATATACCTATCTACTAGTACGTTATTTGTTTCTTATATTTAGATATTTCGGTTTTTCCATCGGGCAAGATATCTGGAATAATATATAAATAAGTGGTTAGGATGAAAAAAGAGACAAACGAGTAATCTAGCTACACTCGCGTTAAAAACAAAACTACATAAAATACTGTAGGCTGGCGGCCCTACCGCGTGCCAACGCAGCGCTCGGTGTAGGCATTTATTTTCAAGGACAGGGCGGAGTCACAATACTGTATAGATAATATTACCGTGCCTTCGAGGTTCGAGTGGTCTAGAGGCTCCAGACGGAGAAGAGACCCCCCCCCCCCCCCGTGGGGAGATGCGATCCACCTGGAATACCTCTAGAGGCACTCGCCAATTCGCGGCTTTACGTCTTTAGGATCTCGCCGTCCCCAAACCCGGTGACGCTGTAAAAGTCATCTGCGACCAACAGCATACACATTCAAAAAAATCGAGCGAGCCTTACAGTAGTCGCGTATGATGTGTAACATATGAAACCTCACCTTATATTAGTAAAAAAAAAAAAAAAAACCTACTACAAAAGGATTAAGATAAGCCGTTTGAACATTATGTTCTAAAATCAAATAGCGAGCGCTTCCCAAACTTCCTGTTACACACTTCCGTCCCACTTCACGTAATCACTCCCACAAATTGCACGAAAGCGAGAGGAAAGATGTTACACATCAAAAACAGTAACTGGAATATTTATTGTCTGAAGGTGGCGGTCTTCTATTTCAACAGTACCTACATTACACTGTTTATTTCATATTTGAGTGCTATTACGTTTAATTTACAAACTTAACACTAGATGGCGTCACCGAATGTTCCGGTGAATTTTCAACCAATCACTGATACACTTGCAGATCAAAAGTACTCGGTTCTATGTTTGTACAGCGCCATCTAGTGATGCGGGTGGTAA